ATATTGAGCCCAACCTGGGTATAAAAGGGCAGTTTGAGATGAAGGAAAAGGAAGGGAGAAGACCTTGAGTGAGAAAATCTTCTTCTTCGGCATTCTAAAGAGAGAAAGTGACGAGGAATAGAGAAGAATCTAGGGTTTCATTCCAAGACAATGATTTGGGATAATATTCCACAAAGGAAGATCTCTTTTACACAAGGGAGGATTCAAGCATCTCCATGATGGTTTTTATTCTTTCTCTTTGTGTTTTTCCCTCTCCCAACATGGAGTAGTTTCCGTTTTAACTTGGATGTTGGTAAACCATAACTCCTACCATGTGATGTGATTGCTTGTATGGAATGATTGTCTATGAGTGGGTGTGTTTTAATAAGAATTTGGAGGTATTTTTATGAAAGATTGTGTTGTGTGTTTGCCTATCAATCTAGTTTCCCTTTTAACCTAGGTAGATAGAAAACTCCCTTTTGTTAAAGAGGCATGTAAAGCTAGGTTTTCTTAGGCAAATCATGTCTCCTATCTAGATTAATGCAGGGCATCCCTCATTATTTGTGTTGGTACCTAGGTTGATTGTGTTTTGGCCGTCCGAATTCCGATATGAGAGTGAAGGTTTGGTAGTCCTTAGTCATTAGGCCAAGAGAGCTATCTTGGTAGGTTAATCCGAATTCATTGGCCTAGGGACCGAGAGAGTGATGTTCAATCACTAGCTACACTTTGCTTACGGTTCTCAATCACCTCCACCATACATTTTTAGTCATTCCGACAATTCATGGTAGTGAGTTAGTGGGAGCTACACCCAGGTGAATCCTTTTCATTTAAGAGTCAAAACCAATTACTTTTGCAACTGCTTTAATAGTAGATCGTAGTTTTCAATCAAACAACCAATCGCTAGATAATGTTTCAAACAATCGAAGTAGGGGTACATGGACTGACCCGAGTTGATATTTAGACATACTTGCCCTATGTTGCACCAAATCAAGGTTTATACTTGGGCCTTACTTGGGAGTTTTATTGTGATATTCGATACGAGTCATACACCCCCTCAAACGAAAGCCACCATATATGGGTTTGAAGTTTTCACAGGTCCGGACACCATGTGCTTAACAGAAATAGATGGGGATTTTCGGGATTCGAACAGAAGACCTCTCGGTCACAGAAGGCTTTGATACCATGTCAACAACTAGTTGGTCCCAATAACTCGAGTTGTTGGAAGATGTTCAATCGTGGATCATATACCATTTACTAATAGAGTGGAGATTTAAATAAGAAACCAAGTGTTAAGGATTAAGTAAACCAGTTTGTGGGGATTACTGGTCACATAAGCTTTACTAAGGATCCATTATTACTAACGCAATTTGACGTAGTAGACGCAATCGGGTACACCTCGAGCAAGGAACTGAAGGGAAGTCAAACAAATCAATTCGAGCATTAAGGGGCATGGTTAATGAGGGTTAGAGTAGTTTTCTTACCAATATATATGCATTTAAGTTATCCATTCAGTTCAAGCCTTATGTTTCGTTATTCTTTATACGCTTCCATGTTAATCTAAGTGTGCATAACATCACTAAGCATCTGTAAACTAAGTTTCAAGGATTTCAAATCTAAGCTAGACTTGTGCAAGTTAATAAGTTGGGTCTTCCCATTGTGTGGGAGATCACCAAGCTTTTCAAGTTTGCAAGTACATATGAAGAATTAATCATGAGTGAGAGATCAAGATAAGCAAGCGTAAGAACTATGAAGTTAATAAGTAAGCTAATAAGTACGAATGAGTAAGAACACGTAAGAGCATGTTTAAATCCTTGCTTAGCTAGCTACATACACGACCACCTTTCTTCCCATGTTTGAGGAAGTATTTATCAAGTTATCAAGCTTATCACGATTATCACCATTCTGGTGGTAGGGCGGTGACGCTTTCTAAGTGAGGGGCGGGGCGGACATTCATGATAAAAATTTTAACCTACTCTTTCGGATAACATATCCAATAACTTACCCAAGGCTTTGCATGTGCATAGTTGTGTGTTAATGGTTGATAACGAAATTAGATTTAAGACTAACCCCATCGCATGCCTTCAAGAATTATGGAAGCACCGAAGTCTTCTTAGAAGTTCAGCAATTCGTGACAAGAATCAATGGCCCTAGAGGCAGTGCTGGACCTAGAAATTTTGTATAGGGGTGTCCCTTTCAAAAATTAAATTAATATTTGAAGTTTATAAAACTTACTTAAATAAGAAAATATCTGACTAGTACAAGTTACAACAAAAAGCAAGGATTCTCAAACGTACCAGAAAAGTAACCAGTAGGATATTTTATGATGAAATCTTTTCATAGTGCTAAATACCGCCTACGAGTTTAGCCTCCAGAAGGAGATTTTTCAGGTCGAACCGCCGGTATGGTATGGTTTTTCATTCATTGACAAAAAGTTTACGGCGTGTTACTCACTGTTTATATTCCTCATAAAATCATTTTGAATATATCATACTGGAAAATCATTCGCGAATTGATCGCTTATTCAATTCCGAACCTTATTCTTGATGTAATCCAAAGTTAAAAAATCTCTCTCGACACTTGGAGTTGCAAATAGTAAAACCAATACAACTTTGGGAAGCAAATATACCCATGAATATGATATATTCAATTTCTTCTCCGCGATCAACTCAACTAACTTAATCTACAAAATAACTTCTCATTTGAACACAATGATAACAATTCTCAAGATCATGTAGAAGAAAAGAATCAGAAATATGACAAACTCTTGATAATAAAATTGTGTTAGAAATTAGAATACAACGGGGATTAAGGATAGTTCGTGGGTTCACGTTTGGACTTTGAAAAAATTGAGGATAAGAGTTATACGTTTATGATGACATTTATGAAAAAATCACAACAATAAATAAAGTGTAGTATAATAGAAAAGATGTTTACTAATAACTATAATGTTATACATTCAAATCGCATATACTACCATTTTTCTCCTTTTTCACATACTTAAATTACTATCGGGAGTTCGTTCATTTTTCTCCCAAATTTTAGGGGTGTTTGGGTACACCCCCAGCCTTCACCTAGGTTCGCCCCTGCCTAGAGACTCCAGTTCGATGATTCCAACCTCGTGTATTTAATAGGACTCGAGACTTGTGGCTCATTTGTTGAAGATGTTTATGACTACAACTTATGCAAGTTTTAAGAAATTGTTATTTGAATTTCAATTTTTTTATTATAGTTGTTTAAATAAAGTTTCCCGTTAATTATCCTACTCTTTTTGGTTCTTGTTTTTGGTTGATGGTTTACCAAGGACATTTCAGTAATAGTAGTACTCGATCAGGTTAGGGTGTTACAAAACTATCAAAGTGGACGGTCATTTTGAAATCAAAAATTCAGGGAACGAACAGCCACGATAGGCCATATTTTATATCTTTTTGAGGGCTGGATTTAGGGTACAAAATCTAATTAAAATGTTGTAATTTAATAAATGAAGATTCAATGATCCATATTAAGGAGTGGTAGGGAGAGAAATAAAGAGTGCTATCCCTATTATCTACTTGCTGCCTAGATTTTGGGGAAGAAGGATGCAGATTTAGAGGTGTAGTTAAAGAACTTTCCAATCTCCAAGAAAATTCAATAGACTATAACTCGATCTTTTTACATTGGACTTCAAAAAAATTTGCATTTGAAAATCATATTTTTTGTACTCTACAAGATGACATCCATTTTGATATTTTTTGGACCAAAACTTTTAACCACATCTTACCGCTGTCATATCACAATGGTATGATGTTGATATGATAGTGATATAATGTTGATATGATGTTAATATGACAGTAATATGATGTTGGTATGACTTATGAGGTCTTATATTTGTCAAAACAATTTGATGACATCATACCATTTTTTGAGGTATTATATAATTGTCATATCATAGTATCATATAATTAAGGGTAATGTCTTCTTTTTATCCAAACCTTTTTGGATTCTTTTTTATTAGCCAAACTTATCGAAATACTAAGAATTAGCCAAATGTTAACTTTCAGTTAACAATTTTGTTAGTAATATTGACTTGGCAACATGATACTAACTTGGAAGAGACACATGAAAGTTAACATTACAAAATTTTAGTATTTCAACTCGGAAAAGAGTTACAAAATTATTAACGTTAACATAATAATGACTAATATTTTGATGCATTACAAAAGATTTGGCTAATTAAAAGCATTTTAAAAGGTTTTGATAATATAAATTAAAGAATCTGAAAAAGAGTTGGAAAAAAAAACAGACATTGCCCTATAATTAATGCATTCTTTGGAGATAGTATGTTTAAAATTCTTAGTTTAATTCAAGAAGATGAGTTAACACTTTAATATCACATTATTGTCGTTGAAAGTAGGTTGATATCAATGGTTATGATGTTGATATGATAGTGATATAATATTGATATGCTGTTGATATGATAGTGATATTGGTATGATGTCTTAAATTTGACAAAATAATTTGATGACATCATATCATTGCATAAAATGATATTATCACTACGGTAACATGAAATGACGCTAATATGATGTTTTTATGAGATATTATGGTTGACAAAACTTAACAAAATGCATACCACTGTGTAGATCTTAATGAACACGTTCTTTCTATACATTTGTATTTAAAAACGGTTTATATTTATACAAATTACATTACTTGAATTATATTCAAATTATTTTAGGAGCTCCCTACTTTTAATATATTGGGGGGAAATCCGGGCAGACCGAGAAGGATTATTGGAACAATAGAAGTAGCTAAATAATGGTAATTGGTAGTCACAACAAAGAAATGAAACCTTTGGGCAGCATTTTCTCGAGTCTGTCAACGACATAAGTGCTAGTATGCTATACTATAACAATGGCGTGTGCACATATACTTGCTAAATGCTAAGGGGCCAACTCGAGCGTATATTTCTCGCTTACCAACACGTAAGAAAATGCATATCCCAACGCTCAACTTTAATTTAAAAAGCCAAAAGAAACCGATATACGGCATGAGATTAAGTTGGGAGCCAAAGAAGAGCAAAAGTGAAAGGGAAGGGAAGAAGACCAGGTTGCTGGAGGGTGGTTGTAGTAGGTTTGAACTGGGCAACCATAGTTGGTTCATCAAACAGCTCTACCGCCTCCCTTGTTCCGTTTTTGGTTTTAAATTCAAGAGCGACTCCCATGAGACATCCCAAAACAAGAAAAAAAATATTCCCAGTAAGTCCCAACTGTTCGATTGAGCAAACGCCAGAAATGAAGACCACCCTTCTAATTACCCTACTGTTACTCGTTCTCCTCCCAATCCATGGCTGCCAATGCAAGATTGTCCAGTTCATATTTGGCGACTCTCTTTCTGATGTTGGTAACAACATGAACCTCCCCAAGAGTCTGGCACAGGCCAGCTTGCCATGGTACGGCATCGACTTCGGGAATGGCCTCCCCAACGGCAGATTCACCAATGGCAGAACCGTTGCTGACATTATCGGTACGAACGAACGAACGAACCGTAATTTAGTTAGCCCATCTGTGAAATCCTGACCCGTTTCATTCATGTTAATGGCAATTTGCTCTACTTTGGCATGCAGGGGATCACTCGGGGCTTCCGCGGCCGCCGGCGTTCTTGGATTCGTCCTTGTCGGAGGATGTAATACTGAGCAACGGCGTGAATTTCGCGTCTGGAGGCGGCGGCATCTTGAACGAAACCGGTGGCCTCTTCGTAAGTGAAACTTGATTCTATTGGCCTCCTTCACAATGAATGGTTGTTCTGTCTATCTCCTCTGTTTTAATTTCAGTGCAATTCTGGTTTGGTTGTGGTTTTCAGATACAGAGGATTTCACTGAGCAGGCAGATTGAGCTGTTCCAGGGGACCCAACAGCTCATTGTAGACAAGATAGGCAAAGAGGAAGCAGACAAGTTCTTCCAAGACGGTCGCTACGTTGTAGCCTTGGGAAGCAATGACTTCATCAACAACTACTTGATGCCCGTTTACAGCGATTCCTGGAAGTACAACGACCAAACCTTCATCGACTACCTCATGGAAACTCTGGGTGCCCAACTCAAGGCAAGCTACCAAATCCAAACATCTTGACTCTAGACACAATTCCTAACACTCTCTCTGTAATGTATAATATTTGTTTGTTGCTGGTACAGGTGCTGCACAGTTTGGGGGCGAGGCAGCTGATGGTGTTCGGATTAGGACCAATGGGCTGCATCCCACTCCAAAGGGTGCTAAGCTCATCTGGAGGGTGCCAAGATCGAACCAACAAGCTGGCTCTCAGCTTTAACAAAGCTACCGACCAGCTTGTCACCGGTTTGTCAGCCCAGCTCGCCAATGCCAGCTTCAAGTTCGGGGATGCTTATGATGTCGTCAATGATTTGATCACCAATCCCAAAAAACACGGTACTATATTTGGTTTTGCACCATCTCATTTTTTTGGGGGGTGTTTTACTTTCTTGACGGTTGGGGCGTGGGTGGGTGTTTGCAGGCTTCAGCAACGCAGACTCGCCGTGTTGTTCCATGGGGAGGATAAGGCCCGCGATAACGTGTACGCCGATGTCAACGCTGTGCAAGGACAGGAGCAAGTACGTGTTCTGGGATGAATACCATCCGTCGGATAGAGCCAACCAGATGATTGCTGACGAGCTCATCAAGAAGTTTGGTTTTCTCATCTCTCCTTCCCCTGCTCCAGATTCTGCTCCTTCCCCTGACTCATCTTAAGCATCCAAACCTTCACCTGTGCCTCATTCTTTGTCACTATCGCTCTCCCAGTTAATGTAAACTTGTTTTGCACGGTGTTTCAGTAAAAGGCTTTTTTTTTTTTTTTTTCAAATTCTCAATCAAGATGATGGTTTATTTTGTGATAACTTGTCTTCTCTTCGTTCCTGCTATAAGAGAATATCCATTTTCTCTAGTTGAAATATATCATATTAGTTTTCGACTTGAAATATGCACCCAATGGCGTTCATTTTGAAGATAAAATTTGCTAGTTGATTGGACTCAAACATTATTGGTTGTCTACATACTCGTAATGGCGGATCAAAATCCACATAGTTCATTTAAGTAATTTTGGTATTTTAGTTATACCCACGTTCCATTGATCGTGATTATCATATAAGTCATTTTGTTAATAAAATTTAAAATATTATTGCAAGATTTCTCAAGATAAAATATAAGAATTTTAATCATGAAGAAATATTAGGAAAGAAACAAAATCAACACAACTTAGGGATTCTTATGTATTCAAAATTTCGTATTAAGGATATTCGATGATGAAATTACATGGATAGGATGAGTTAATGAATGACGGCCGCCTAGTCCACTGGCTAAAATGCTAGTGGAAAAACGCGTATATAATCAACGACCCGGGCTCAAAATTCAGCAAATTTTCATTTTAATACAGGGACAAAACGGGAGCAATTTCGTAAATGAGCCAAAACACTGTGGCGGGGACATAAAATCTTAAGAAATCCTAGGGGCTTTTTACGACCCCAAGTATTTATTCATCTCTAATAAAACCTGCTCAACTCTAATCTCAATCGACCAAAACGGCTGCCCTCTCTCTCTTGATCCTTCTCTCATGTTTCCTCTGCTCTCTTCTCCCTCTTGTTTTCCTCTGCCGAAACCGAAATCATATAGTTTTTCTATAAATCCAAACCCTGACTCTTAATCCTACCTCGATCCTCTTCTCTCGTCGCCGGTCACGAGAAACAGCTCGGTCCACCATCAATCTCCTAATGGAATCCCGAATTTGGTATGGTTTTAACATCCATGTGGTTTCTTTAATTTTTTGTTTGTATATGGATTCTGATCTGCTTTCCTTCTTATCGCGGACTAGGAAAACCCACCTAACGACATCAGATCGACCTAAGAGGCTAGTTTATGTAAGGCTCGGCTTGCATGTGGGTTTATTTGATGATTTTTGGTTTGAATTTGTTTCTGACCTTTCGTTTCTTATGTTTTTTTATGATATATTGTAATTCATATCCACATCCAAACCCAAAGCATATAACTCCTAATCATCATGTATATCCGAGTTGATCCTTGAATTAAAAAGAGCAAAATTGATAATCATTGGTTTGTATTGACTTGCTACTGCTAGTCTCAACCAATTCATTTCAAGTTTTTTTTTTTTTCAAATACAATTGTAGGGCAATTGTTTTTTCCCCAGTAGAACGGTTATCCCAGACAAAATGTGGCGTCTACAGTTGCCCCCCTTTATATATCTCTTTGGTAGCAAATTAGAAGTAGAAATTGAAATTACATTTGGTAGCAACGACGTATCCATATTGTTAAAATGATGGTAGCCAGATTGTATAAGAAAATGGCAACGATAAAATCAATTTGACCATTTGGTAACAACGATATACTCAATTTGCTCGTGATAGAAACAAATCGATCAATTTGAAAGATGTTAGCAATGAAATGAAGAAACTATTTTGTAACAACGATATGATCAAGTCGTCTTTGATAGAAATTGAAATGAACATCGGACTAAGTGCTAGCGATAAAATCAAGCTAACCATTTTCCAACAACGGTGTACTCAAGTTGTCTGTGGTAGAAATCAAGTTATCAATGAGAAAGATGATAGTGATAAGAACAAGCTAATCATTTGGTAATCATGATATACTCAAGTTGTCTATGACAGGGATCAAATTGATCGATGAGTAAATGACAGCGATAAGATCAAGCTATCCATTTTGTAACAACGATATACTCAAGTTGTCTATATTAAATTGATCATTGAGATAAATGACATCGATATGATCAAGCTAAGAATTTCATAACAACGATAGTGAAATAAACTAATCAATGAAAAAAATGATAGTGATAAGATCAAGCTAATCATTTTATAAGGACGATGTACTCAAATTGCTTGTGATATAAATCAAATCAAACAACAAGGAAGGCAACGATAAAGATCAAGCTAACAATTTTGTGAAGGATATTGTACTCAAATTGTTTTTGATAGAAATCAAATCAAACAATGAGGAAGATGTCAGCGCTAAAGATCAAACTAACGAATTTGCAAAGGATAATGTACTCAAATTGTTTGTGATAAATCAAACAATGAGGAAGACGTCATCGATAAAGATCAAGCTAACGATTTTGTAAATGATATTATACTCAAATCGTTTGTGATAGGAATCAATTCAAACAATGAGGATGATGTCAGCAATAAAGATCAAGCTAACGATTTTGTAAGGAATATTGTACTCAAATTGTTTGTGATAGAAATTAATTCAAACAATGAGCCGATGTCAGCGATAAAGATCAAGCAAACGATTTTGTAAAAGATATGTGCTCAAATTGTTTGTGATATTAATTAATTCGAACAATGAGGATGATGTCAACGATAAAGATGAAGCTAACAATTTTGTATGGACGATGTACTCAAATTTTCAATGATAGAAATCAAATACAACAATGAGAAAAATGACAGCAATAAGATCAAGCTAATCATTTTGTAAATGATGATGTACTCAAATTGTTTGTGATGGAAATCAAACCAAACAATGAATAATGTAAGTACGTAGTGGAATTTCGCATGAAAAGTTTTCACATGATTTTATACGGATATTTTAGAAATTTAGGAAATGTTTGTGATGCATAGCAAGTCACTTTGATGTATATTGATGTCATGTAGAGAGTATCGAAATGATTTTGACAATGATTGTGTGATTTGTCACGCAAATGATATCGTGAATGTTAAGTTAAAAAGGTGATATGATGCATTTCATATTGCTATGAAAGTATCTTCTTTTGTTTGTATCGTGTTTGTTTGTTTATCTATTTGTTGTTTCGTTTTTACTCGGGGTTCCTTTAAATAGCTCATCCACTAAGAACTGCCATTTCCTTTTCGTCAACTTGATCCTCAGCATTTGGAGTGACTTTTGGCTTGTTGTCTCGAGATATATCTTCTTCGTGGTATTGTTGCCAAGATATACTTTGTGGGTGAGTTGAGGATGTGTACTGCTTCATCCTTCTTGCTGGCCAAGATTGGGCCCACATGATTCTGAGTCGTGTATTTTTCAGTTCGTGTGTAATATTAGGACCTCCTTTTGACGGTGTAGTTGAAGGATTGTAGGATAATCAGTTGACTAGTTTGCTTAATGATATCTGAATGTTCTCAAACTCCCTTAGATTTCTTCATCAATTCGTGAGTGAAAAGTTGATTTATCTGATTCATGGGAACTCAGGATTCCCCATCTTCTATGGAGTGCCATTTTTCCCTCTGAAGATCTGTTACTCACTTCCTATTCCCCGGAACAAAGAGTGACTTTATCAATCTTGACTTAAGAAGAATGCAAAAATGTTTGAAAACGTTTATTAGAGAAGTCAAATGGAAAGCCATATTAAGACTTTATTTTCGAGAAGTGTGTGCAAAATGGATAAAGACAATTTTTGAGTGGTATTTCCATGTTGCTAAAAAAAAATTATAGTGAGAGAAGTGTAAGCCAAGCCATGAGAATATCATTAATCCCTCGTTGTACTCTTAATTTTGATTTTGCTCGCTTTCACTCCCACTTTTGATTTCGCTAATCACTCATTCCTATAGGTGATTTGAGTGCACGACACTTCAGGTACCATTAAGATTCAGGTCACCTTGAGATGTCTCATTTTATGCCGATTGCCAACTGTGTTCCTTGTGAAGATTCTCAATATGGAAGACCTTGGTGTGATTGATTTAGAAGACCTCCATATGGCTTCGTCGCAGACATTTTTTCTCCCATTAAAGAGGGTTTGTCTGATATGACTTAGATGGTAGGAGTCTTCTTGTTCTTGAAGTGTAGTTTATTCAGATGGGTGACAGATAGGTCAAATCTTGACCATATCCATATAAGGCTTCTCGTAGAGGGATTTTGGCTTTGCTCCCAACGTATGTGATTGACTTGATGGGTGAAGAACCACAATTATCCGGATCTTTTTAGTTGACGAAGACATGTTCGAAAATACTGGTGGATTTGGGCATTTTTCTAGAAATGTATTTTCAGCTGGTTTTGCCCCCAAGTCTTTGAAATTCTGGTCTCACGAGTCGAGGGTTGAGGTTTTTGCCAATGCAATATGGTTATGGATTTATCAAGATTCTTGTTTGACCTCTAAATGTTGATCCTAGTGGAGTTTCGGCTTCTGACTTGCTCTCAAAATGATGTGTACCCATGATGAAATGATTTTGGCCAAAAAGGCTTTATTATCACGGAAGTTCTTGCTTGAGGTCTTTTTTGTTGTATCTTGAGACTAATCGGCAAAGATCTTGACTTGGTGCAGGCGGTTTATACTTCAAATGCTAACCAGGGGGCACCTAGTTTGTAACTCCCACAATTTTTCTCTTTTTTTTTTTTTGTGGGACTCACTTGGCTTTGTTATGCCCCCATATATGCTTGTCTTTTTTTTTATCTAGAATTCGTTTTTGATAGTACAAGTATAGGAAGGTTGAGTGTTTTTCTTGGCCATTGATAATGTGGGTGCCTTTTGTTAGCTAGGCTGGATAGGCTATTCCTCTCCCGAAGAAACGAGTTTGGTGACGTCATGTTCTTGTTTGTATAGATGAGGGCTTCCTGCGTGTGATCCCTTGGTTTGGATGTTGCAACCTTGAACTCCCCAATCCTCTAGCCATGACACTCCGTGAGGATTTTCCTATACATAATGTTGCGTCCCTTGTGCATCGGGATTTGAGTATTTGACTTCATGTACACTAAGTCTCAATTTGTTGGCAAAAGTCGACTATATTGGCGACGAGATTCTACAAGTAGCATGATGTCGTATACTTATTACACCTTTTGACTATTAGCTCACATAAATCATAGACACCGGTAAGGTGTTTATCTCTCGATTTTAGCAAAACACGTACACTCT